TCCATTTGGAATTTCACATTTGCAAATGGTTTTTCTTGTGCATTTAGATGTATAAGATGAATGTAATAAAATTAAAAAATGATACAATTATAAAATTAGATAATATTATTTATTTCTAATATAATGTATCATAATATAATTAAATTTTTTTATTTAAAATATTTATTTATTTAATAATATATAGTTTTTTAATAACCTATCATAATCATGAATTTATAATTATGCATTTGAACTTGAATTGGATAAAGGCTGTATATGCATTTTTGTTGATGTAGGAAAGCTGCACATGCCTTGAATATAGATGATATGCAATTGTTGACCATTTTCCAATTTCCATGTATGGTCGGGACCCATTTTTCATTGATTCTCTCTCTTTACCTTTCATTCCGTAGGAAAGACAAACATAGGCAAGTTCTTTATTACCATATAACTAAATATGGTGCCCAAAAGTCAAAAGGCCCAAATCATATCTAAAAATCTATGGGGAATCATTCGCAAAAAAAAAAAACAAAAGCCCCTAAACTTGTTGGCCACTGACGTATTAGCCCCTTAACCTAAATCAGCAGCAAGCAGCCCCCTAAACTCTTCGACAATGACAAAAAAACCCCCACATTTGATTGATGACATCCACAATCCGATAAAAACTAAGGTGATCTGCCTTTCGTGAGATTTTGTAACTTTATTTTTGACTCTGTCAACGTCAACGATTAAGGTTCTACATAAGTTATTAATTATGTAATAGATTATGTAATTAAAGAACCTCAAGATAATTAATACAACAATGATTAAGTTAGTATCAAAGCACAAGAGAGGAGGAAGGACTTGTATCCAAAATCCTTATCAAGGTTTGAGAGAGAGATAATCTTCACTATGGTTACTTTGTAGTCAACGAGGTAAGGAGGAATGGAGAACTTGTTTAAAATACATAGGAGGTAGATAGGTTCCACTCAAATACGATGGTGAGGTTTGTTTCACAAATCAAATCATTTTGCTTTTTTTTTTTTTTTTTTTTTTTTTTGTCTCCCACATCCTTTTTTTTTCTCATAATTAAACATATTCATTGCTCATTATTGATTTTTTTTTCTTTAATTACTCTAAGGATAGGTCCGAGATCAATGATCTTGAACGTATTGCAAGGCGATTTCTTAATGAACGAGATATGGTGTAAGTTCAACTCTTCTTGGTTGCACAGTTGCATAATAACTACAATATGCATGCTCGCACCTAATCCCTCATTCTCGAGATCATCGTCTAACCAAACACGTTAGACCCCGATTATCTCATTAAGCAAGCCACATGAACACCTCATTAAAGTTTATAAATATTCCTATGAGTCACCTCTAAAAAGTAATTTGAACCGATCTAAAACTTCTTTTACAGTCTTTTCTTGAGGTAGACTAGACTATTTGTTAACTTAGATATTAGAGTGTTTACCCTGAGGACCCACCTTGAGGCTTTACAAGTTTTTATGAAGAGAACCGACCTAAAACTTCTTTTACAGTCTTTTCTTGAGGTAGACTAGACTATTTTGTTAACTTAGATATTAGAGTGTCTACTTTGAGGACTCACCTTAAGACTTTGCAAGTTTTTATGAAGAGAAAATCTGAATTGAAAGAGATTTCATGGTTCTTTACAATTACAATTACTTAGAATAAAAAGTTTTCATCTCAGTATGTCCAATGAGATGTTTTTTTTTATTGTCATGGTGCTTCATTTTTAATTAATTCTATATTTTGGGTTCATATCTAACAAGAACCTTATGACCTTTGTACATTTTTCATTTAAGAAATTCTTTAACATCTAGAGATGTAAAAGATACAGAAGGTGATGATTAGCTTAATTAGCCAAATATTCCATAGAATCCCATAAAGATATATGTAAAGCAATGGGTTACACTTGCAGAGGAGAAAGGAGGATGGGTTGCAGTTGTAGGGGAGGAGGAAGGAAAAGCAATAGACGTGGCAGGCTACTTGTAAATTTGAGGGAGAGGAATAACGGTAATTTAGGAAGTATAATGTTATAGATTTTCTTTTATTTTTTTACTCCAAATTCAAATCACCGTTAGTTTTGGATGAATTCCGTCGGAGAAGGGGTTTTTTGCCACCATCGAAGAGTTTAGGGGGCTGCTTGCTTCTGATTTAGGTTGAGGGGCTAATATCCCACTGGACTACAAGTTTAGGGGCAAACTTTATGATTCACCTAAACCCATCATGCCTTTTCGCATCCTATTTTTGGTGGTTGTAATTATCACAACAATCTAATAAGATTTTTTTCCTTTACTGCTTTGCTTCTTTCCTTATCTGTGAACTTGTTGGGGATTCAAACTTTTGTTTGTAAGTCAACGTACCACCTCATTATGATATTATATAAAATTAAATTAATATAATATGATATTAAATAATTAAATATATAATATTATAAATAAATTTTAAATAAAAAATTAATTATATAATAATATATCATATTATAAATTTATAATATCACAACATATTATAACTAAAATATTTTCATTTTAAGAGTAATTGTAAATTGTAATTCTACATTCATTTTAGTAAAAAGGCATTCATGAATCTAGAAAAAGGGAGTCTAAAATCCATAAAATGAAAATAAATAAAAAAAATAAAACAGATATTTTACTTGACCCTTGTATTTGCAATTTTTTTTTCTTACAATTCAGTATCACATTTAAACATCGTTTGGTATAACGGTTTATAACTAATAATTAACAATTTAAATTAAATAAAATTATTAATTGTTAGTTTCAAATTACTATACTACACCAACCATTAATCTAATTAATGCATGAGGTTCCAAATTAAGTTAATGTAGGTCACCTAATTAAGCTCATCCCCATCCTCTACTTCCTTAAGTTCCATCGCAACAATCTCTTTCTATCTGTATTGGCTATGCCCTCCATCCACACTAATAAGGCTCGCCAATTGCCCCCTTATCCATGCCTATCCACGTCCCATTCTCATGCACTTTTCTCACCACCATCTGAAGTGCCCTTGAGAGCCCATTGTAAACACCCCATTAATAAGACTAAATGAAGCCAAATAAGTGCCATCACTATATATAACTATGATAAAACCAAGAAGACGGCTCTAGTATTACCACTTTCGAGCAACCAAGGCTCAGCCACACCAGAGCCATCCGAAACCCACAAACCTTAGACAAACAGACGCAAACCCAAAGGCAAGCACCCAAACCCTTCTTGGACTAAATCAATTTGAACCCTCTTAAACAATTAAACACTTAAACACTTAATATGTTAGAACTCCTTCATGTGACCTAATGGATGGGTCACGTTACTCCACGAATAGTAAGTAGAGTTTATTCAATTCTTTATTCGACTCTGACTCTGAACAAATATTAATTTACTAACTTAATATTCTCCTTGTAAAAAAAAAACACTTAACTTGTTAGAGATCTTCAAATCGCCGGCAAAAAATCCCTAGCCGAAGAGATTGTAGCTTTCATCTTAGTACTAGAAAAGTCCACAAATAGTTACATTATTATTATCATTTTAAAAGATTAGAAAATTTTTAATAACTATGGCGAACTTTCCATGAATACTTAATTTTTTGCATGATAAAAAAATAGATATTTTTTGTTGCATAATTCATACATTAAAAAATTATAAAATTAAAATAAATGATGTAAATTAAATTTAACTATTATTTTGTTTTTCTAATGACATTTTTTTAAAAAAATTAACAATAAAAAAAAATCTTTTTTTCCATTTTTTTTTCCTTGGTTGGTTTGCCTTTATTTTTTTTATTTATAAAAAAGAGAGGAAGAAACTGAGAGGAAGGATGGAAATAGAATGTGTTACCCTCAATTTTTATGTTTTATTATCCAAATAAGTGCGTATTTTTTTCTTCCACTCCTTTATTTCTCTCGACCAAACAGGGCATAAGGAAAAAGACAAATCCAGAGGGCAAACACGTCATAAAAGATAAAACCTTGTTTTGTTACCATATAGAGTTCAGAAGCAGCATAGCCTGTGCTCTTAAAACCACAACAGACCCTCAACCCTTCTTCTTCAAGCTTCATCATCTCTTCTGTTTTGATTCCTCTCCTTCTCCTTCTCCCTCTCCATCCCCAATTCCCTTTGTCTCCGATTTTCCTCATTTTCTCCGTTGAAGCTAAAGCTTCAATTGGAGCCAAGCAGCGCCGGAAATCCCCCGTCACAAGTCGAAATTCTCAATCCACCTTCCTTTGTTTTTCATGTTTCTGGGATTCCTTACTTAATCGGAATTGGGAGTTTGAGATACGCTCTATAAATGGTGTTTCAATCAATCTCTGGAGAAGAGGCGCCGGAAAAAACAATAACTAACCGGAACGAGAGAACACCACCACCAATGACTTCTTCCACAATGAAGTCACAGCCGCTCCATAACTTCTCGTTACCTGATTTGAAATGGGCGATGAACCACCCGAACACCAATCGGTTCAGAAAGCTTACCATTCATGACACCGATTCCGATTCTGAGAGTCGGAGGAGGAATCAAGCGGAGGTTGCGAAGTATGCAGCCGCTTCCTCTTCGTCAGGGCACAGGATGGATAATTTCGAGAAGAAGAAAGTGACCTATGGCTCTGACTCTGTGGTGGAGAGCTCGGAGAAGAAATCAACACCACCTGATGGTAGATCGAAGATCTTGATACGTTTGCGGACTAAGAGCCAGAAGCCTGCTGAGGAGGTTGCAGATACTGGAGATCAGAACTTCAATGCTGAAGACACCGATGAGTTCGTGGCTAAGACGTGGAATCTGAGGCCGAGGAAGCCGATTCCTAAGGCTCCGAATGCTGGCGGTGGTGGAATAAGGATTGGTGGACCAGCCGTTCAGAGGCCAGAACCGACTCGTTCTAGGAATCCAACCGAGGGGAAAGCTGCCGAGAAGAAGGAGAAGAAGCCGAAGTTCTCTATTTCGCTGACAAGAGAGGAGATTGATGACGATATATTCGCCATGACTGGGTCCAGACCCTCTAGGAGGCCGAAGAAGAGAGCCAAGAATGTCCAGAAACAGCTTGATGTAAGACTATTTAGCGACGTGATTGCTAATTTTTTCCCCCTTTCCGTTTTCATATTTTAGCTGATGCTAATAGTTTGTCTTCTGAATTGCAGTGCTTATTCCCTGGCTTGTGGTTGCCTTCCATAACGCCTGATTCATACAAAGTTTCTGATGCTCCTACAAAGGTTTAATCTTTTGATGATTTGATTTGATTTATCTCTTTTTTTTTATTTCGTATTGATTTGTTTCCCCTTAGTAATTGTATTTTTTTTTTTTTAATGCTGTTTTCTTGACTCTTCGATATATAGAAGGGTAAGAATTCTCTGCTTGCAGGGTTAGATTAGACTGATAACATGCTGCAAAAGAGGGGATTGGTGCTGAATCTCTTGACATGCAGTTGAAATAAGAGCATGTAGAGATAAAAGGGTAACGAATGTATGTTTTTTGCGCCTTTTTCTCTATTATGTGAGGGGCTTAGTGGAATGGTGAACAGTTAGATTATGAATAAATTAGATTATGAATAAATCTTGTCATGAGTAGCTGCAGTTGTACACAGGACTTTTCAGTTTTAGTAAGACAGTTGAAAGATTTCAGTTCCTGAGAAATGAAATGCTTTTCAAGGCATCTTTTTAGAAATTATTAGTTATTCATGCAATAAATTTACATATTTGAGGATAATTGATTGTGGATCCTGCATCTTGAAGGTTGGGATAAGTGCTTGTGATTAATGTCAACATGTTTCTATGTTGCATTCTTCATTTATAAAGTGCACTTTTCAGAGAAGGAAATCATTGGTTACCAGTTCCTGAGCAATTTGAGGAACGTGTCATTCTTAAAAGATTAAGTAGTTCTAAAGCACGTGTCAATTGTCACGCTTGAGCTACTGTCTGTGATGTGAAGATGTATGTTGTTTAACTGGCTATGAATTTAAGTCCTTAACCTAAATAGTTGATAGATGCTTTTATGATTGCCTGGATGCTACGTGTGCTTTGTTCATTATTGCTTCCTAAATAACACGTGTTAAAATGAACGGAGCTAGACTCTATCAGTATGATGAAATCATTCTTAACAGATTAAGTAGTTCTAAAGCACTTCGCTTGTGCTATTATCTGTTTTGGAAAGATGCATGTGATTTTACTAGCTATTGAATTGAACTCCTTCAATTAAACCTAAATTGTTTGTAGATCATTTTATGGTTGCTTGTGTGCCATATATCCCTTGTTCATTATTTCACCTTGTCATGCTTGTGCTGCTGTCTGTGATGAAAAGAAGTATGTGATTTTACTAGTTAGTGAACTGAAGTCCTTCAGTTAAACTTAAATAGTTGATAGATGATTCTATGATTGCTTCTATAGTTCTACGCTATATATCCTCCATTCACTGTTTCTTTCTAAACCACATGTCAAGGTGAAATATATCAGCTTCTTATCAATTTAAGTATGTTAGCCTTTAATGAACTCGATAGTTTAATATCATTTTTCTGGTTACATGTTTCCATCTATAGACACTGCAATCCAAGGACACGTGTACTCGACTCTAGCAGCTTTTGATCACTTTAAGAATGTCAGCCTTTAGTGAACCAAGTAATTTAATGAAGCAGCTTTTTTTCTTTTTTCTTCTTTTTTTTTTTTCCTTTATCTTTCGATTTGTAGATAGTGTGACGTGAGAATTATGTGCCATTGGCTGTTTAATGCAATACTACAGATAGTGTGACGTGAGAATTATGTGTCATCGGCTGTTTAGTGCAATACTACAGATAGTGTGACGTGAGAATTATGTGTCATCGGCTGTTTAGTGCAATAC